CTGTTTGTCCCTTCCCTGATTTATTTATTTCGAGACATCGGTGATGAATAGGTTTAATGCCACCTCCAAGTTTGGAGAACTGAAGAAATTTTCAATACCCCGCCCCCCCCGTTTACTTTTCCCAAAGTGCTACAGGTGAACTGGATTTTTTTGCAAAAGACCGAATGTACACATAGTTACTGGCAAGTCATCCTAATGGTCATTTCCCCGCAAGGCTGCGATCCTAAGCCAATTTACTTGGAGGATAGAATGATATTAGTAGAATGAATGGAAATTTACTTTGATTTTACTTTCGGATCAAGATGTGTTTGTGTATAGCGTTGCTCGGTTTCCGCGTTTGTTTCCAAAATCAGCTACACAGTTAAACTGGAAACGTCGGATGCCCCGGAAGGAAGACAGGAAGGAGATGGAAAAAGAATTTGGGGAGAGCAAAAATTTTATTCAAGGAAACGAGCAATGGTCTTACTTTGCACGGTGGCAGAATTAAGAACCGGTGAATTTAAAAAAAAACAACCGCGCACACACAACACAAAGAATGTAACCCTTAGTCATGTATTTAGTCGGAAACAAACCCCATTGAATTCAATGGGAGTTACGTCCGAGTACATTAGTTTAAGGTGTCTTGCACCGACGATCGCGTCACTGCGTAGCAGCCTTGATGATGTTTTAAAACATTTGAAAGCAGTAGTATATTCTCTCTCTCCTCTCCAAGGAACGGGGTTGAGAACTGTCTAAATACGGATCGACTGGACTCCCTTCTCTTGGCTCCTGATTGTCATCAGTCAGGCTCTGGATGCAGAATCCTTCGCATCGCGATCATAACAGAACCAGATCCAACGTCCTTTTTCTAAGTCATACTGAGTTCACCGGGATTAAAGGTGCACAGGCTACCGCCTTATGACACACGCCGGCGCTCCCTCGCTCTGCTGGGTTGCGATCCACGGAGTGCTTATTCTGAAGCCAAGGGGGTTGCTGTTATTACTTTATTTTGCTCCCTCCTGTGTGTAGGCGCGCCATATCTCGCTCTACGCCTCAGGGACGTTTTGTAGACTGCAGCTCATGCCCACCCTTTTGAATTTGCGATTAATCTTACAGATCTCACTGGGATGCCCAGGGAGTTTCTCTTGATCGACTTAACTTACTTTTAAAGGGATCGACTTAATCGGCTTGAATTCACACCAACTGTTTAGGCGTCAGGAGCCTAGGAGGGGGAAAACTACACTTGGAGTGCAGGTCAATATCCCCCCCCCCACACACACCCACACAGGTTGTTTTTTAAAGGGGAAGCCGGAAGGGGGGGGGGATGGGGAATAGTCTGCTGAA